ATAATTTCATTTATTCATAATTAGCTTGATCTCGTTACTTAAGATAGATTATTATGGTCGAGCGCGTCTTTTGTTAGAGACACGTATTATTATCACACGTTTTCGAGTAGTATTAAAGTAACGGTCCTTCGAATTGTACACACAAGCAAATAAAGACATTGGTTTTCACAAATACTTGCATTACTGCGGACTAGCAAGCCCGCTTTTTCTTAATACATGAAGACATAAATGATTTCAACGCGTAATGATTTTACAGAATTTATCGAAGAGCAATAATAAGAGGTAAGAAAGAATGAGAAAAAAACTGATTAGTGTTTCGTGCTTTCCAATGTCTTAATTGAAAAGAAACATCCATAAAAGATTACTTTTTAATGTTGCTAATAAATACTTATAAATATATTATACATATAATATTTATTGTACGTTCCCACATTATCTTATTAGTAATAATAATATAAAATCTCGTTTTTAGGTTATATTTCTTAAACAAAAGCTAAAAATAAAATTTTAAAAACATAAATACAAATTAGAAAATGTTTTCTATCAGATAATATTACAGGTTTTTATAATTGTGTTTAGAATTGTGAAAAATGTAATATATTTGGTAAGCAACAATTAGAAAAAAAACAACATAAATAAAACAGTTTTGAGAAATTAAATACATGTAAAACAATTTAACATTAACAATAATATATCCAATATCACTTTAACACAATTTGCAAAAAAAATTGTAAGATTGTTATTTTTCCATACATAAATTTGTTTGTAGCTAAGCTTTTTTATATCAATAAAAGTTACAAATATATATATAAATTTTTGTTTACCTTCATTAATTATTTAAGTTTATAAAATATTATGCTTTTATCGGTATATTAATAATTAAAGTGCATTGTTCAATTTCTGAAAAATATGTGATTGTCTCTAGAAGGCCTGTGTTAATATCGGCGATTTTCCTTTATCATATTGTACGCATTAATTAAATTCTGTCTATAATATGTTAGCTTTAATGCCAATATCGTTACGTTAAAAGTCGCGTAAAAGTATCTGTTAAATATATACCTACGTTTGAAACTACATATAAATTAAGACTCAACATCGTAAGGATAGTCGACATTTATAACCATTAACGCTTTGTAATAATACATATGCATAAAAATTCCGTAAGAAAAAAGCAATCTAATCTAGATAATCTAATCTAGATAATCTAGATTAGATTGCTTTTTCCTTACAGAATTTTTATGCATATGTATTATTACAAAGCGTTAACGGTTATAAATGTCAACTATCCTTACAATATTGAGTCTTAATTTATATGTAGTTTCAAACGTAGATATATGTTTAACAGATGCTTTTATTCTGATGTTTATTCTGTCGCTTAATACTCACTAGTTGAGCGGTGTTTTCAATGTATCTTCAAGTGTAATTCTCACAAAGTTTCCAAGAGAACCTGCGAAAACAAAGTAAAATCTGTCTCTAAAATCCTTACAAAAAGTATTGACGCATTTATGCTTTGCGCAACAGAATATGTAATTTAATTTTATAGTCGGTAACCAGAAAACTATGACGAAGACGATCCAGGCAGCGCTGGCACCATTATTGATCATCGGCTCGTTCTGCAGTTTAACCTTGTTCGAATATCCTCTTGGACAACCTAGGCCGTATCTCACTTATCTGTACATTTTGACTACATGGAGTCTCTTTGTGTGTTTCTATTACTATTTCGCGTACTATGGTTACATTTTAGATGTGTGGTATACAAACTATGATAGTGTAGCAATAATAATTGCCGCAATTACGTCGATGCTTGTTAGCTTGTTTCATTTTAAGGTAAGAAGTTTTAAATATACATCTTAAATATTTGATATTTTTTTAATCATCTAAATTTTTAATCTTTATTTTGTCGTTAAACTATTTCTTCATTAAGAAAATTAATTGATCTTTGTCTCTCGCAGTTAAAAATAAGTATGAATTTTTAAAAAGCTTTTAAACAAATCAATTTAAGTGTTTCTATTAGTGTTTATTAGTAGATGTAGTGTGCTTGATAGAATTAATATTTATATTTATATTACTTTCTTAAATTACTATTTAACATAACATTTTAAAATTGTATATTTAAATGCCAATCAAATTTCGATAACTTCTTTCTTTATCACATTTCCA